GGGGCTGGCAGCTGCTCATGGGAACCATGTTGTTGTGCGTTCATTGGTCGAAGAAAGGGTAATTTTGGCTTGTGTTCTTGCAGCCTCTTTTGCGAGGGAGCAGAAGATAATAACACCAGCTCATCATTTTGATACTTATAATGAAAGGGTTCTGTCCATTTTATGTCGTGTACCGAAGGGACACAGCGGTGAGATTGGTAGATTTGATTCAGAATATATCAAAGCCTTTCTTCTGATGGCCCCGAACGTAGTATATTATGTCACAGCATACCAAGATGAGGAGTGGTTCGAGGAATTCGCATTCTTTACACGCATATTGCTGTTAGCGATGTTTAAATTCCACGATCACAACAGAAAGGTCGTGAATAAATTCATGACGAAGTACAAATTTCACAATGTTGCATTGGATTACATTACAGAGAATACGTTTGGAGCACATGAAGACGACGACATTGATAATCATATTCTAAGATGCATTGAGATAGTATTTCTACTCAGAGAAGAAATTGACATTAAAGATCTTCTTTTGATACTACCGAATCTGTTGAGTACAATAACTAAAATCCCTTGTAACCTCAATTTCCACAGTGTTCATAATCAATATTGGTGTTACGATGAAACCGACCGCATCCCTGCATCTTTAGGAATTCTCAGTTACAACATCGAAAACGCCTCAAGCGACAGTGCTGTGCAATTTTTGAACAAAGACTTCTTCAGCAAGTTGTTAAATGGTATTGTAGAAGCAGCTAATGAAAACAAAGAAACTGAGACAGTACAAATAACGAAAGTTCTGTGGTGGGCTATGTTAAGATATCGGCTGCTCGCTTTAGATGATCTTAAAATTAGCGGCAAGGTATATCATTCCACGATGCAGCATCTCTGTAACAAGATCCAGGACAGCATGTTACCCTCCAATAATTTTCTTATCTGTTTGTCTTATCTATTTTATTATTCTTTATGTTTTTCGCACGAAGATGAACAGTCTATGTTGTGCATCAGTGATGAGATGATCATTATAAAGATGATGCAAGCACTCACTGTCATATATTACAGTGAAGAAACTGAGAAACTGAAGTTTTCTGCAGTGTTTGATCAGTATGTCGGTGATCCTGATGCTTGGTTTTCCCGATACGTCAATGAGTTCATCAGTCATGTAGAATACAAAGGAGGCCAGGATACAATGAACAAACTTGCGGAGATTGTCAACGAAAACCTTCCTGAGATTGTTGCACAATTTTCTGGTAAAGGTGTCCAGTTGCGTGGTGTAAGCTTCATGTATTCCGAAATAATCACTCGTCTTGTCCTGGTTTCTTTGGATAGAATTGAAAGTTTCTTCTCTGACAACTGGAAAGATGTTCGGTCATTGGTGATGGAACGAGAATATTTGTACAGGTTGATTATCAGTCGAAAGCGAATTTATTCAACATCTTTGTTGTTCATGTGGAAGGTTGCTCAGATGGATCAGAGAGAGCCGTTCGTTTCGTCAATTCTTCAACTAGAGGAGTCATGTAAAAACTCTGGGAATGATGAGTCTGAGATGGAGACATTTTTAGATCGGTTTTACGAGAAATTGGGTGATGCTGATGAGAGTGATTTTGATCATGAAACACTTAAGAAGAATCATTTTAAATATCTTATTGCAGATTTTAAGTTATTTTTAAGTAATCCTGAGCACTTTACGATTTTTGTTTTTGAAGATAAAGTTTCTGAGTTACATAAAATGACCCGACTTATGTTTACCATAGCCCAAAATATCCAAGATAAATGGCAGCAGGATCAGATGAAAGGTCTCGTTTTTTGGGCTCTTGATCTTGTTCAACATTTTAAAGATAATGAAATTGTTAGAACTAACGTCAATAATTTCATACTATATGTTTTCTTGAAAGATTTTGATTGATTATTTTATGTATTAATTATGTGATTACTTTTCTTGGTGAACGATTTATGATTACTTTTTATACTAAACTATACAATTTGTGATCTATGATAACTTCTTTATTTAAAAAGTGCACATGGATACTTTTTATTGTATTTGTATGATTCGTAAACTTATTTTAAAGTACGGTTTAACTCACATCTTTTTCGTTTACTGCTGCTCTAATGGTGACTTATTTCAAAAATTCTACGTTTTAAAAACCCGTTTTGTCTATCTCTACCATATTCCATAATTTGATCAAATCTAATATGTTTCAAATCTAAATACTCTTCATATTTCAAATTGCCATAATTCTCAAAAGTTAGAAGCTTTCTGATCAATAATTCAATTATCGTTTCTATTCTTTCATTAAGAAGTTGTATTAAGAAACATGTTTTTATGAATCTGAGATGCCTACAATTATTAGTAACTGTTCAACCATTTCCTGTAGTGTTGTTTAAATGAACGTTTGGAGGGGATTGAATCACGAGTGGGCACAGATTTACTATTCGTCAGAAAAAGTTACAGGTAAATCCGATCATCGAAGTACTGATATCTGATTTAGCAGCAAAATATTGATTGAATCGTCTTGCTAATGATTTTTCAGTATTTGTTATCATGTCATTACCTATTACTAAATAATATAATTGGGATTTTTCTACGGTTAAATTTGTAGTTAAATTGTTAGTTTGATCGAATTTTGATTCAATCAAATTGTACGTTTCGGTTTAATAACCTTCGCCATTCATTTTCAGAACTAAAGCTGACAAATAAATGAACAACTTCGCCATCGTTCTTGAGGATGCTTTTGTTAAAGTTGGTCCACCTGATGATGGGGATACAAGTCCAAAAACATCTTGGGTTCTTAAATCTATCGAAGAGATGTTCGAAGTGGCGAATTTACATGCAAATGGAAACATACAGAAATTAATAGGCTTACCTTTGGTCAAGATTTCCAAAATAGAAATTTACCTTTACATGCAAACGTTCTCTAAGAGGATTGAATCTTGCGGAAAGCTTAATAAACTCGACCCAGATTTTGCTCAAATGGCTTGCTCAGCACTGTATATATTTTGGAAGGACTACCAATTGGTTGGAATGACACTTGTAAATATATTTAAAATAGCAAAGATTGCCACTGACCACGTAAAGATGGAACTTAGAGACAAAAAAGTAATTTTGGCTGCATCTCTAGCTATTTGCTTCCTGGGTCAAAAAGGCGATAGTAACTTGTTGACTACTTTCGATGATTGCATAGGATTTGCTATGTGCATTTTCTATTATGGCCCAATTCAGCAACCTGGCCAACCTGTCTTGTTTCATCATAGAATAATCAGTGCTATCATGATGATTGTTCCATACTTAGTGGATCATTTGGAACGAGACGCATCAAACATCGAGCAATTTGCATGGATATTGAAAGAGCTTTTAGTAACATTAGAATTCCGCTACAAATCGAGTGAGGCCAATAGACCAACTATGATAATGACCATTAATTGGCTGATAAAGCACGGTGTTGTAGGCTATGTATTCAAGTACATCAAGAATTACCAATTTGGAGTCTCTGAAAACCTTGACGTTAACTTCTTGAGAATGATTGATATAGCGTGTCTTCTCAGAGAGCATGCTCAGTTCTCAGATTCAAGATCAATTGTGCCAAATTTGTTCAAACTATTGGACATTAACACATTTAGCTCGATTAAAAATACGGGTATCAAGCACTTTCGGCCAGTTCGTGTGATTATGGAATTTCTGAAGTACATTATTGAAAACTCCACAACAGATAGACTCAAATATCTTTTGACCTGCAACTTCATAAGGAACATGTTAAATGCGATTAAATTTCATCGAGATCAGCAGGAATTTATTTCTGTAATTCTGCTTAGAGCTATTGATAAGTTCAAGGAAAAAATGAAATCTGAAAAAGAGTTAAAATTGTATCTCCTATTGGTAAAGGACTTGTTCGCCCATACAAAACGGTATATTCTTCCATCAAATGATTTAAAGTTGGCTTATTCAAAAATTGTTTGTTATGCTGCTGATCAATTTATTATCAAAGATTCCATAACTCGCACATTGGAAAACGGTTCATTTGTTCTTATGATGAAAGCATTTACTATTTCATGCTGTGAAAACAATTGTGAGAATGGCGACGCAAGTTCTCGATCAACTTTCGGTATGTACTTGATAGATGTGATTGATGAAATCACATACAAGGACAAACAGTACACCCTTACTAGCATGAAAACTGTTGTCTGTGACCACCTACCAAATATTGTCAATCAATACGGTTATGGAGAACGAAATGCTGTTCCTACGGATTCAACTTATTGCCAGGCTATCACTCTCTTGGTTCTACATTCGTTAGGAAGTATAGAAGATTTCAACAGTATTCGTTGGAAAAGCATACACAATTTGATGATCCTGTACTGTGTCCATTCATTTGATGAAAAGTCATTTCGAGAGCCATCTTCACTTATTTTAACGTGGAAGATCATATCTTTTTACCTAAGGGATTTATTTATCCCTTCCTTAAAGCAGATCGAAATTGAATTAAGGAAATGTGATAATCTGGATATCGAGACTTTGAGTAGCATCAAAAATGTGAAGGACCTTGTTTTATCGTCTGATTTAGAAGGGTGTTTTAGGCATCTTGTTAAGGAAGTAAGTTCGTCTTTAGGCGGGGATTGTAGTGAAACATTTATCAGTATCTATAGATTGCGTAGGATTACACGATTGATGTACAAAATCGCTCAAAACAACAAAATGAAATACCAGCTAAAATTGCTAAAAGGGCTTGTTTTCATTGCCTTGGATGTTGTTAAAGATTGTAAAGATACTGAAGTTGAGGAAAATGTCAACAAGTTTGTCATTCATTTATTTCTCAATCTTAGGAAATAGATATTCTAATATTCTGAAGTTAAATAATGCTGAAAAAATTGTTTTTGTAGAATTCTGATTGGTGCTACGTATTAGTACATGAGTAAATAGAGTTAATATACAAATTGGTTGCCGATAGTATGTATTTGATTTAGTAGGAATTGTTTACAAAATAATGATTTTTTATAATTTGGGTTTCAATATTTGTCTCGTTCTACTTTAAATATTATTAGAAACATGAACATATTTATACTTGTCATTGGTATAATAATTATTGTATTTCTGCGAACTTATCCTATTCTGACGATTTTGATTATCTTTTTCGTTTAAAATTCAGTGAGTATAAGAACTACTAAATATTATCCTTTTTTTTTAAATACGTACTATAAAGGGGATGTTCAATTTTTAATATGATTAACTATGCATCACGATTACTTTTTTAAATTTTTAAAATAGTTTCACGTCTCTTTTTTTCCCTTTACAAAGTTACAATTTCCTCCCTCTTTGTTTCGTCTTCCTGCTTGACAAAAGTTTTTCTTCTTAATAGATAAATTAAGACGTCTGTGCTAAAAATTGATTTGTTATAAGTACTAAAAAACTGTTTGTTGTGACTTATAATTGAAAAAATAATTAAACTCTCGGACAGTCTTAATCACTAACTAATTAATTAATTAACAGCCAGTGAGATGGTAGCAAGTGACCTGTCCTACCTGTTGTTCTACGACACATTCGAGCACACGGAACATGTGGAGGAGTCTCAGATAGATATGATCAGCTTCAACACACCTGTTATTCTACACGAGATACGGTAAATCAACTGAGATAATCAGCATTATATCATGTGATTTGGAGCTCACGTTTAACTTTCATGAGTTAGAGTGCTTGCGAGTTTTGGTTGGTTTCCTTTCCGATCACTAAATAGAAGCCGAATCTAGTAAAATTAACAAATTACCCTAAGCTAGGTAATATCTAAGATATTGATCTAACTTCGCTTTAAAATTCAGGGTGGTTCCAAAGGGTGTTGCAGGCCACCCAGCTGCTCCAATGAAAGGGGAAACTAACCCTGACTCCTTCACTCTAGACTTCTTTGCCAAGATTACTAAGAATAAAAACGCTTGCGTTTTTGAGGTAGGTGATATTGATTTCTTTCTTAGCACTGGAATTTAATAATAATACATAATATAAATGAAATCAGTCAAGATTAAAGATTTGGTCTTTCTGCTGGCAAAGTAGTTTTGGAGCACCTCTAAAGTCTCTATCACCTTCATAACCCTAACCCTTCCCTCAGCCAGTAGGACACCTTGACTACACGCTTGCTAGTATTCACCTCCCCTGCAACAGACTGGGACTAGTTGACAGTCTGGTACTGTACGGTACCTTCTCAGCATGTACCCTAGCTGTGTACGGTACTCCTTACGAGGACGAGGTTAATAACTTCCTCAATAAAGCCCCTCCTAGCCCTAGTGACAGTAAACGTGAGTTCTTAAACCGTATGGTAGGGACAGGTACTCATGCAGAATTATACCGTGGTGGTTTATGTTTATTAGTGTTAAAAGTGACTCTAGTCATGATGTAAAGTTTGTTTTTGTTTCTCCATA